ACCCATAAAACAAACCTAAAACGATTCCAATCCAATTCGGACTTTCGAAGTTAATACAGTCATGCCATCTTTTTTAAGCCGAATTCGGATCAAGATATTTAATATTAATTATATTGAAAGAATTCTGTTTTTCTTTAATTAAGCATTACAAAAAATAGCTCATTACAGTAAAAATTTTTTTTACGTCAAACGTGTGCATACTTTTTGTGAAAATTGTGAAAATACATGTGTCATTTGTACTTCTACCAGGTGGCATCGCTTCAAAATGCCAAAACAGAACTAATAAACCATTTCTACACATTATTGCCATTGCATTTATATCAAAAACCCCTGTTCGGCTAAGTGAAGACCCATGGCAGCACAAATAAAAGCATAGCGATCATTATACCAAAAACTGGTAATTGTAATGAACCAAATTAGCAGTAGTTTGAGAAGACAACAGTAAAAACCACATACGTATCGTCTGAACGTGAAAACAAGTCGGATGCGCATCTGAGAAGCCTGCGCTGCAAGGTTTGTAATCTAATATGTTGCCTCCGTAGTTCTTCGGTGGCCAACAGTCTCGGTAAAAGCATTTTAATTAAGTTTAACGTAAAATTCAGATGTCTGTTTTTTTTTTAACAACTGATTGCACGGAGAGTTGCCAGACAACTGCTAGAGTTGCCGAGTACATTGTTTTGCTTGACTCGCACGATATGGGATGTTTTTTTGCTTTGAAATTATAAAAGTACAGCTTTGAAAAACACAAATCCGACGCCAACACCAGCAAACAGCAACCAAGAAACCGGAACACGAGTCCCAAGGTTACTACGAAGCAACCGCGGCCTAGGCCAACCACAGGGAGCACGTATCCCAAACAAACCACGAGGATCTCAAACACGAGACAAACACAACAGAGCAAAGAAGCACAGGGTCCACAACGGAAAAAGTGAAAAATAGACCGCCTCAGAACCGACCACCAGCACCGAACAAGGACAACGACAAGGAACAAGGGAAACAGCCACGATAACCCCACGCTTGTTGGGGCCAATAGCACTAGTCGACACGATTTTTCCTCAAGGAACAAACCCAACATTTTCTTAAAGCCTAGTACTCAAATCCGAAAAAACACTTCGCGAACAGAATCAGGGTTGATATTCGTATGAAACCGATAAGAAATTTTTTTCTGTCAGTTAAAAAACTTAAAATATGAGAAAAAAATTAACAAAAACGAGAAGGAACGTGTGAGTCGCTTCCTTTGGACGCGACTCTACTTTTATACCCGTACTCAGTCAGTATATATATTTTTGAGCAATAGACCCGCTACTCATTCTCTTTCTCGCTCGCACACTCTGCCTCGTTATGTACGCGAGAGCCCTCTAGCGGAGGAATCTAGAATCTAAATGGTACATTTAGAGTCTTCATGTTAGATCTAGAATATACATTGTAAAAGTAGATGTAGATAACAGACTTAGCAAAAAAATTTAAAAAGTAAAATTTTTTTTTTAATTTTAAACTTCTAAAAAATCATAAGCTCAAACATGTATAAACTGACTGAGTACGGGTATAAGTACAGTCGCGTCCCCAGAAGCGACTCACACGTTCCTTCTCGTTTAGACTGGATAACTCTTTGGTAAACCAAGGAGGCTTCCCAGATCTAACCGGACAAGAAATTGGACACAAGAATCAAAAAATGTGTCAAGTTCATTGTAAAAAATGTTTGTGCTTTTCATAACGTCAGGGCACAAGTACAGAGCAGACCAATAAAGCTTCGTAAACTCGGCTTTACGAAATCAGCGTTCAGTTAGTTTACCCGTTCGATCCAATACAGTAGGCCCAATATCGACCAACACTTCGAATGTAGTATGGTAGGAGTCTTTAGGTATAGTGAGCGGAAGGGCTCGGCTTGCCAACGCTATGGTCGGATCCGAGACAAAGCACAGATCAAGCAATCGACCCAAGGAATTTTTCACATGGTTGACTTGAGACAGGGATAGGTCTAGCAAGCCGTAGATATGGGCACATGTCGTGACATGGACACAAGGTTATTAGACTCGTTTACCGAAGACATAACAGTACCTGGCAAATTAAAATCACCAAGAACTATCATATGGTCTTTATCTGATAGCAAGGAAGAAACCGTTTTTAAAGCAGACAGGTGATGCTCGTATATTAAGATATCCGAGGAAGGTGGAATATACGATAAAATAATGAAAATGGAAAAGCCTGGGAGAATCAGTTTTACGCACAGGAATTCCAGGTCTTGTTGAACCTGGACTATGAAATGTTCCGACATGAACTGCAATAAGGACCCCACCTCCACGTCGAGACTAACGGTCATTTCTAAAAATTGTGTACCGACCTGACAAAACTTCGGAACTAAGGATTTCCGGCTCTAACCAGGTCTCGGTAAACACAATAACGTGGGACGAGAATGAGAGATTATCAAGAAAAAGAGTGCTGAGCTTACTACGCAAGCCTCTAGCATTCTGGTAGGTAACTAAAAGAGAAGAAGTTAGTTTTTTTCGATGGGTAGAAGATGGGGGTGGAGATGGAGCACTGGTCTGACTACTAGGAGGAGTTATGGGGGCCTATTCTTTTTCTAAGACTTAAACTCTTTAATCACCAAATGCTCCGGCCAAAACTTGGCGGAACAAATGCTTTCAAATTGAGTCGGGGAGACGCTTATCTTGAAGGAAGATATCTCCCTGGCGTAAGAAAATTGAAATTTTTCCACCTTTAAGCCGACGGCTTTTATTTTGCTTTATATAAAAGCGGTACATCATTGGATGTGAGGTCAGGGGCTAGCCGCGAGACAAAAACTTGTCGCTTCGGTGGGACTCCCATCAGTGTTTTTGGCACCACAGGCCTAGTACCTGTGATGCCAGTATTCGAAAATCCTGGACATCTATAAGCTGGTGGGAGCGAAACTGATGGGATAGTTAAGGAGTTGGGTGCGGACTCGACTGACACTAACGCTACAGACATGTCTAACTGCATACTCTCCGAAGTGACGCACTCGGCTCCCGAATCTGCATTACCAGCAGCGATCGGTGCCCTTGGAGTAGCAAACGTAAACGGTCGGAGTAAATTTTTCGGATGCCGGCTGAACTGAGTGTCCGTGGCCAAGAGCCGATCGTATATTTTTTTAAAGCCCACGATCAGTTTTTTGAAGCCATTCCGCGTCTGCCTCATGGAAGACCGCATGTCGTATTCCACAGAACGGCATTCCTCACAACTATAATGAGGGCCGTTGTTTTGGGAAATGGCATCTGCTACACGGCCCGTAATCCCTACACATTTTGCGTGCACTACGCTTTCGCAAAGCCAGCAAGGGATATTGGTCTGGTCATGGGTGATCTGCTTCTTGCAGGTTTTTTTGGCACAGACGACCGCAAAATCCCTAAGAATAAGACTTTTAATTTTTTGTTCGTGGAAAAAAAAGTTTAAAACAAGTAGCAATTAGACCAATGTGCGGAGCAAATACTTAAAGCGATGCTTAAAACGAAATCGTAAAAACTGAGATGAGGGAGGAGAGTGGTTGCAGCAACAGCTTATAAGTGAGAGCGTTACTGTACAGAAAGTTGCGAGAGCGAGGGAGAAAGAACAGTTATTGAGATTTAGGTGATAGAGAGAGAGTGACAGACGGCAATAGCTACGAAAAAGAGCGGCTAAATGTAATGAGAGGGCGTTATTACGAAAAGCAACTACACAAAAACACGACTAACCGACGCACGAAATTAATAAAATAAGTTGTGTTTTTACACAATTATTAGTCATGCACCCGCGGTAAAAATTGATTTTAAGATAAGTTAGTTAAAGAGTTAATTTAAACATAAAACACCGCCTGTTTAAGTAAAATAAAAGGAAAACGCGGAGCGCAAAACCAATACACGTCTGGTCACTACGAAAGAGAACGCGATTTCGCGATATGTCAGCTATCAATATAAACCAAAAGTAATCCATCGTCCATCTAATGAGTAATCGAGTGAAAGGAGTAGCGTAGCCTCTGCAAATTTGTTTGTTCAATCTTTTTATTCGCGATTAAGTGCGTATTCTAATCAATATGTCGGCTATCGATATAAGCCAAAAGTAATCCATCGTCCATCTAATGCAGCGGTGCCCAGGCCCATTGCTCCGCGAGCTCTTTTGTTTGTGTAATTGGCCCCAGCATAAAAAACCAATTCTTTTATGCATACAGAGTTTGTACTGTGTATCAGCATACCGAAGGCCCAACACATACAAACAACTTTGTGTGTATGCGGTCCGCCCAGCAAAAACCGGTTTTGCCTCTTCTCTGATTGGTGTTAACCCGACTTTTGTTATGATTTTGTTGTTGTCTTTTCTTCGAGTTTGCGCTGTTCTCTTATTCGTATTTGCGTTTTTGTTTGGGAGTATTGGTGTGTGCTCTGCCGTAAGCTGATTTTGGGCACCCCTGATCTAATGAGTAATCGAGTAGAAGGAGTAGCGAAGCCTCTGCAAATTTGTTTGTTCAATCTGGCTATAATAAGGATCCAGATTTACCAATCTGGTAGAAATGGTCATTCGGATTTCGGGTTTCTTGTATCTTCAAAATTTTGGATTCTACAGATTTTCGTTCTATGTGAAGGAGGAAAGGAGCATAACAAAGTATAAAAGTGATATAGGAGTCTGAATACAATTTGGGGCCATTAGTATATATAGTCTCTGAGATATAAGCGACTTGGCTATATCAATTGGGATATTAATGCTTACAAATAATATATAAACTTTATTGGGTCGGAAACGCTTCCTTTCCAATTTCTATTACACTGTAAAAGTAATACATCTCTAAACTTGTTGATTACCGGGTATAAAAATGGGAATTTTTCCTGGAAAATTTCAGATATAGGCGCCCTTGCGCCCAAAATATATCGTCTCATGGTTCTCCAAACTACATTTTGTACTTTCCTTTTTTGTTTTCACTTTCGGACCAATAACCAAAATATTTAAGAGTCATACAAAAAATAACTGAAATAAAATTTGTGTTTGATTTTTTACAGAATATTCGGATAACGACCAATGGACGAACAGGTTGGCCACAGGATGTTTGGGCATCTGAGCTTAATCCTGATCAAAACTAGGCTTTCCTATATTAAATTAAATAAAAATAATAAATAGCTTATACATTTTTTATTCAAAACTCGTTGCTGAGACAATAACCGAGAATAATTCAAATAACAGTAACGGCATTGTAGAAAAAAGTGCTTTTAAGTTTCTTTCTAAATTTTCAGAGAGTGGAAGAATGGTAACGAATAGAGAGTCTTGGAATATATGAACTAGAACTCAGACAAGATAAAAATTTTGCTAAAGAAAATAGGGATGAATTTCAGATTGGGCATCCCAGCATCCCAGCTGTTGCTAGAAAAATGTTGAGCTGGCCATTAATTCAGACAAGATAAAAATACCGACTAATACAGGAATAATGGATTTGAAGAGCTTGTAAGATACCTATTTCAGGCTGGGATATGCATCAGCCTGTCCAGGGTCTTCTACAAGAAATTTGTAGATCTACTGGAACTTAAGGTTCGGGGCTGGCCTTGAAATGTCCGAAAGAGCAGTAGGCAAGGTGGGAGAATTGATGACGCGGTAGCTTTCGTGGTTTTGTTTATTATTTACTGCCTTTATTCGTTTTACTTGTTTACAATTCGAGACCTGCTGGTCTTCCTAAAGGTGCTGTGGACTGGTGGACTGCCTAGTGTAGTGTCTTGCGTTTGTGACTGCCTAGTGCAGTGTCTTGGGTTTGGGCTGATGGACTGCCTAGTGCAGTGGCTTGGGTTTGTGACTGCCTAGTGCAGACTCTTGGTTTCGGGCTGATGGACTGCCTGCTTCTTCGGCCGATCTTGGCCCTTTTATGCAGCTGGCGATTGCACCTGAGACCGTGATTTTCCGAGGTCTGTCTTCGACCCGAAAATAATTAATTATTGCTAACTTATGATTATTGGGTGACAATAATTGTGGGGCGTGGTAATTTGTCTAAGCTTGGTGCTTCGTAGACAATTGGCTAGCGGGTCAGTGGGTTTGAGGAAAGTGTGTTGCTGCGACAGCAGTTTGGGATTGGGTTTAGGTAATAGCTGAATTTGGGTCGGTAGGTCGATAATTTTATGCTGGCTTGACTTATTTTGAAATAACGCAAATGATATTTCTTATGTAGGTCGTCGATTGCGAAATATCGCAAGAGGTGGGGTGTTTTAGATTGGTGTGTGGGAAAGAAGGTGTAGAGCGTTGTGTGAGACTACTTTATTTTCTGGAGGTGCTGACACAGCGTTATTTGTGGATACCGGGGTTAAGCCATGGTTCGTTGGCTCTGTGTATATCAGTTTGAATATGGTTTCCGACCAGCGCGGATGCGCTAACACTCCGCTGCTTGTGGCGAGCCATGGCTAGAACCATGGAACCACCGCAATGTGAACAGCCTTTGAAGCCAGCCAGATAGAATCCTTTCCTCTCCCATCCGCATAGGAGATACATTTTTATCGATCCATTGCAGCCGATTCCACAGAGCTGCAATGGCTGTCCAGGCAGAAGACGATCCACCGGAAGTGATCCCATGAGCTGCACCTGCCGTTTGGGCGTAGCGGACGCAGAGCACGAAGAATTGGGCGACACGACGTGCTAAGTCCCTTGCGTTCACAATCCAGTAGTCCAGACGGTAGGTTATTTAGCTGATTTCATAACGAACTATGATTTACTCAGTATACTCGACCATCGATAGGTAACTATAAAATATTGCGGTCGTGCTTGTACCGAACCATGGTAAGTTAGCGCAACCAGGGCTTTAGCACCAGAATGACAACTACGAAGGTTCAGATGGCGTGCGTAGATCCAGACAAAGTTGGATTTGCTATGCAGAAGCAAAGGGTGCTTCCCGGACTCTGGCATGAGAGGGCTATCCAATCTTCAAACCTCTCGAATGAGCTGAAATTGTGACGAGCTGTACAGAAATGAAATAAGAATCTTTAAATTACTTTTTATTGTCAGTGATTTGTTTAGCCGCTAAAACTCGTCAGTAAAGGCTTGCTGCTGAATATTCCAGACGACGCAGCTTTCCAGATGACAACAGCCCCGTTTTAAGTTTGCTTGTTTTCCTTGTTGAAAAGTTTTTTTTTTTTTATGTTACGGGATTTTATTTATTGAATCTTCCCTATTAGAGACTTACGACAAGTATACGAATCTTAGCCTAATATATTTATTTAATTAATTACACTTAATTACTTAGAGTACGTCCCTAGCTCAGTATTATTGCTGGGTGGGAAGGTCTCTTCGCCGGAGTCGTGTATGGCTAGTGTGCCAAGTTAAAGACTGCGCAAGTCTATTAGGATGGGCTTGAAGCTTGGCCAGGTACTTTGCTTTCACTTTGGCAATTTCATCTTTAACTGATCCTACATTTAAGTCTTTATGGATATTTTCATTCCGTATGTACCATGGTGCCCCAGTGATAGTTCTTAGTATCTTCGATTGAGCTCTCTGGATTATTTCTAAATTACTAACGCAAGCATTTCCCCATAGCTCGGAGACGTATGTCCAGATGGGTTTGAGAACTGCATTATACAAAAGTACTTTGTACTCCAGTTTTAGTGGTGAACGGGTATGCACTTGCACTTTTGCTCATTTGCATGTATCCGTCAGTCTGCTAGCCATTTTTCTAAGGCCACGAGATAAGATGATAAGTGTTCCCTGGCCCTTCTTGGGCACTTGGAGCGACTTAATATGGCAGTATCATCAGGAAATGTCGAAGTTGTTGTTAGGCTGTTAGTCGGTAGATCTGCTGTGAATATGATATACAGTGTCGGTCCAAGCACGCTGCCTTGCAGTACACCAGCTTCAATTGGATGATTCTTCGCTTCTTTGCTGTAGGTATGACTCCAATATTCCATGGATGTTCTGTGGAAGTCATATCTTTTAATTTTGTGGATTAAGCCATCTAACCAAACGCGGTCGAAAGCCTGGGCGACATCCAGAAAAACAGCGGAGCAATACTACCGTCTTTCAAGTGCATTTCGTATCTCAGAGGTTATACGGTTTACTTGTTCAATGGTTCCGTGTTTTTCGCGACATCCAAATTGGTGAGTCGGGATGGCACCGTTGATGTGTAGGTGTTGCTTGATACGATTCAGGAGCAGCTTTTCAAATATCTTTGATAGGCAAGGCAGTAGGCTGATAGGTCTATATGATGATGGCTTGGACTTGTCTTTTCCGGCTTTATGGATCATTGTGATGACTGATTTCCTCCATTCTTGAGGATAATAGCCCCATTTCTTCATGCTGTTGAATATCACAGTAAGGAAATACACTGCACAGGTCGGCAATTCTATGATCATTTTAGGGGAGATGAAATCGTGGCCCGGAGCTTTCTTTTGCTTTGAGATTTGCTCTTTAATGACCCTTGTGACTTCTCCTGATTGGAATATGATAGGCGGAGTAGCTTCGGGATTGTTGGTTGGTGGGAGCACAAAGCTATTTGTTGCTGGGTGTGATTTGAAGACGTTTTCTAGATGGACGGCAAATGTATTTGCCTTCTCTTTGTTGCTGCGAGCCCACTCTCCTGTTTGTGTACGCAAAGGCGATTCACTCTCGATTGGTGGGCATACGCCTGATTTTGCTTTCCAAAGTGGGAGTCGTTTGCTAGTTGGGGAGAGTTGCTCCATATAGGATATTTGAGCTCGGTTTTTTTCATCTTCTAGGGCTCTGCGTAGTAGGTGGTTGGCTATATTTAGCCGCTCTTTCGAGGCAGGTGATCTGTGTGCTTGCCACTCTCGGCGAAGCCTTCTTTTATCGCGTAGCAGAACTTCAATGTGCCTAGAAGTACGACTGCTGTTGGAAAGTTTATTAGATGCTAATATTGGTTTTGAGTGTTTTGCCGCCAGTGACATTGAGGATACCAATGCTTCGACTGACCTATCAATGTCATCTTTACAATTAATGTTTGGGCAGCTATCAATATGAGAGCTTATGTACTTCCTGTATTTGAGCCAATCTGTTTTGCTAGAAGTTAGAAAGTGTGGGCGTTCCGAAAGCTGTGGATGGTCGTAAAGGTGAAGTAGAATGGGCGCGTGATCCGATGATAGATCTGTTAAGTGATCTACATTAATCTGAGCTTGCAGCACCCTTCGTGTAACTGCAAAATCAATCAAGTCGGGTTGCTTGTTTGGATCTGTGGGCCAATATGTGGGCTTGCCCGGAGAGATAAAGTCTAGCTTGTTTCGTGGGGTTATTATAGCGTTATATAGTTGTCTTCCTTTCGGGTTGGTAAGTCTAGATCCCCAATGGGTGTGCTTGGCATTGTAGTCACCAGCTGCTATAAATCGGTCACCTAGTAGGTCGAAGAATGTACTGCGGCTAGGTTTAGGTAGCCGCTCTGAATTTCAATATGAATTGCTGTTGCCTGTAGATAAGGTGTAGCAAATGGGATCGGGATGATTTGTCGCATAGAAGTTATAGCCATCGAGGTGAAAATAGTTTTTATTTGTTAGATGAGTCTCTGATATGAGCATGGCGTCAATGTCGTGTTGAGCGAGGAACTGTAAGAGCTCGCATTTGTAATGCGAAATGCTATTTGCATTCCAGAAACATATATTTAGACAGGCCCTTTTAACAGATTTCGGTTTGATTAGGAGCTCCAGGAGGAGATTTTGGTTGCGCATAAGCTCCTGCATCGTTTGCTTTATTGCTACCATTGTGTTTGTTATAGTTACCAGCATTGACACAAATCCACTAGGCAATTGGGATGGATTAGCAGGGGTATGTTGGGCAGAGATTTCTGGGATCTGATTTGATGCCTGATTCTGCATTATTCCAGCTGTGGTTGGTTGAAGTGTCGGCTTAGAGACTGAGGCGTACGACCCGTTGTTGTAACTTAACGCCTGGGCAAAAGAAACTCCTGGAGTCGTAGTTGATGGTATATGGGGCCCCCCCCCCCCCGGGTACCCGCCCGGCCCATATGGTAAGTTTTGTCGGACGACCGGGTTTCGAGCTGCAGTTATTTGTTGGTTTAGGCGATTTTTCAATTATTTTTAGACAGGACAACCTCTATAGTTGGCAGTATGGTTCCCCCACAGTTGCTACATTTTTTGGCAGATGGGTC